TTTTTTTTTTTTTTTTTTTTTTTTTTTTTTCAGAAACCTGCTTCAAAGTCTCAAATTACCTTTGAGGCCTTGTGCTGGTTTCTGTAGAGAATTAAAATACAGAATAAGTGTGTTCATTTCTGTATCTTGTTCCATCCTCTCCTGTTTATTAGGCCTCAATACATGTTAATCAAGTTTTCAGCCTCAAAGGGGGAAACAAATCCATCCGTGTGCCAGTTGAACAAATGATCCAAGTCTCAATATCTAGCAGTTTTACTTTAGTGTAATTTGTTTTTAAAGAAGGTAAAACTGCAGAAAAGTAACATTTTAATTGGAAAGATGTTGTGCTTTTTGAAGTAACGTTTTTCTTTCTTGCTTGCATTCCATTAAGTCAAAGTTTTTCAGAGGTTGATCAATTAGCACCTGCCACAGAAGCAGGATATCTAAACAAGTGTTTTGCAGCGCAGAACAACATTTTCAGCAATTAAGATTGTTGCTTGTACTTAATAGAAAGAGCTCTTTAGGGAACAATTAGGACACACACAAACAACAAATACAAACACACACACCTAATTAGTAGTGCAGATGTATCAACTGTTTTCAACTGCAGACCTCGCTGGGATCAATTGTAATCAAGTGTTTGTTAATCAGCTATTCCTTATTTTCACCTCATCTTCTGGTGCCAATACAGAAAAAAATAAAATAAAATTAAAATGCGTCAGACCTTAAAAGCTGTACTACGATGAAAACTCAATGCAAAGTCAGACTTTTATTTGTAAATTTAAAAGTGTGACAATCCATAAGCACAAATTACAAATGCAATGCTTAAGAAGGTCTCCTAGTTGTGTCATGGTTGACTTCTGGGTTTCTGCTGTCGGTTGCTTCATTTTAATGGGAATTAGTAGGAGAGATCATATCTCTCCAGTTTCTGCCCACGAGGCTGACACATTGTCCAGTTTTTAGACTGGGCTTAAGAATTTCCTTTTTGATAAATTCTATAGCGTTGGCTTTTTATGCTGCTATAGGCTTTATTTCCTTCAATGAATTGTTAATTGTTTTCATTTGATACTATTTCTTTATCAACATGTGATTTTTGACCTGCCATTGTGTATCTGTTCCTCCTGCATGTTTGGTTCTTTTGTTGCATGTTTGGTTCTTTTGTACAGCACTTTGGTTGGCCTTGTTGCTGTTTTAAGTGCTATATAAATAAATTGGTATGGTATGGGTATGGTATCTCAATCCCATTTGGTCGAAGCAGATGGCCGCTTGTCCTGAGCCTGTTCTGCTAAAGGTTTCTTCCTCAAAAGGGATGTTTTTCCTTTCCACTGTCACCTTCATGCTTGCTCAACATGAGAGTGTGAGGAAGTTAAACTCAAGGCAGTCTGCTCCTCAGATAATTAGTGTTTTTAACTTGCTTTTATATGCTGTATACACATTTTTTTTTTTCAGTGTTCTGAGATTACTTTTATTGGCACTATATAAATAAACTGAATTGAATTCAATACAATAAATGCATTATAGCAGCAACGTTAAATTATATCCCCCGCAGAAGCACTCTTCATACTGTATATACTTGAAATACCAGCTAACTAACAACTCATAGTTCACATCTAAAGCTAGATTAGGACATCGACTATACTAAATGTTCATCTTGTAATTTTATTAGAATGAGCTCACTTGAGTTTACTGAAATGCATATCTTAGATCTTTTAATGTACTGTCTGGCGTTCAATTAGCATATATCTTAGTGTACATATTGGATCCTTATATGTGGTTTCTTTTTATATTTGATATGTTTGCTATTTTTAGCTGCAACTGGGACCTTGTGTACATAATTTCATTCCACCTCATTTACCACATGTGTTGCGAATGACAATAAACTTGACTTGAACTTGAAATGTTTGAATAATGTATTTATTTTATAAAATTTTATTTAGTATGATATTGTCTTAAAACATGACCTGATTTCCGTTTCCACTAGGTAATGTAGTTTTTAGTTCTATGCCTACAAATCCCATCATGTCATGCGCATTCACCAATATGGCGAGGATTCGTTGGTTGAGAGCTGGTCACATGAAGTAAGTTGGGGCTTCACATTCATCGATGGTGGCGACTCCTCCTGGGAGGTGTGTCCGAGCTCGGGGCCATTGCTTGAGACCACATGAAGAGGTGGTAATAATAGCCCAGGCCTGGTGATTTTTTTAACTTTATGTGTAACTTAAGGTAAACTTTTTTAAGATGGAACTGCTGCCTCTGCAAGGCTGCTCCAGATCATTAGAACAAAGGAATCAAGAAAAATAATTTCAATAGACATATATTGGTTGTATAGAATATCAATGTTACTGGCTGTAGCACTTGCTGTTCTTATCTATGTCAAAAAGTCTATTAGTCACTAATGCAAATTATTAATTTCAACAGAGCCAGATTAAAATGCTAGCTTTATGAAATGACTCTATGAAGAACTTTCATTAATGACCAGCAGGTTTACTAAAGATTTTAAAATGGGGACTGCAGAACTCTGTTAATTGCCAGCAAGGGATCAACAAGTCATCGTTGCTCCAGCTGTAATGCCCATTACGACAAACATAAACAAGTAAGTGGCTACAATGTACTTTGAGCTTCATCAAAATTCACAAGAAAAAAAAAGTCCACTATGAAAGGAGAACACTAAACCAAGGCTACTATCACTTATCTTTCTTGCCAAAGCCAATGTTGTTATTGCTGGCAAAGTTCTGCAGCTGTTTCCATCTTGTCTTCATAATGCATGAGCTAGACTGTGGGCCTGCTATCATTTAGAAAGTGTTGGCCTTGCAACATCAAACACACTGACTTAAGGGAGGAAGCAGGCAGCGCATCCAGCCTGAATAATCTCAGCAACCATCTGTCTGTCACACGGCCTCGGGAGGGAAGAGTCCAACCAGACAAAGATGGAGGCTTTTTATTTATTTATTAATTTATTTTTAACTTTTTTCTGATTTCCAATTCAAATCTGAGAATGTATGCGCGCTCACACAATCAGATAATTAAACTAGTTTGTTTGTCGACTAACAAGAGTTTCATCAAAGATTTTCATGACTTTTTCCCTTCATTTTTTCCAAGATATCACAGTTAGCTAAAAACAAATAAAAAAAAAAAGAAAAACTATATGAAAAATAAAGAGAGTTTGAGTTAAGTTAAAGAAATACCACACCTTGATGAAAAGCATATTTAAAAAGCTTACAGGGACAGCACAGGAACATAGACCTTTGCTAACCACCTTGTCTCAAATGTCCCTAGCAGCGCTCCATAGACCTGGCATCAAGCAACAGTTACATTAAAATGGCTGTCTGTAGATTTCCATTTTTCACTTTGGGCAAAGTCTCTCTCCATTTCATTCTGACATCTTTTTTTTTTTTTAGCTCTCCCAGTGGCATCGGAGGTGTGCTTATCTGAAGAAGCAGACGTAGAACCCATGGGACCTCTTCAGAAGGACTCTGTGAAGGCATACCTGCTGCCACTGAACCGTCCCCACCTTCATTCCCACCATTTTTTAACCCCCAAACCTCTGGCCCTATGGGCAAAGGGGCAGGCACACCAATTACTTAAAGCCAGGAAGGAGCTAATGTGATATAAAGTGGAGCGACAGCTTGCTTCATGTGGGAAATATCCCAGCTGGCCTCAATAAGGTTTTCCCAAACAGCAAATGAATACCAATTGGTGCCCGAAGAACAGTTTGAGAATACCAGGATGTGAAATGGAGAGACCGACTGTGAAGACGTACAGCTGAAGGGGAGGGCTTAGACACAGCAACAAGTCAGAATAGTTTTTATAAACTTTATTATTTAGGAGCTAAATAGTGTAGATTGTTATGTCCTTCGGGGGTCTGTTGTTTAGCAACATTTAAAGAAAAAATGTCCAGAGCAAAATTTGACATCCTCAACCAGATCGTTCAGTTTTTGCATGAAATAGATAATCATCCAGTTTATATGTAAGATGTTTCCTTAAAGGGAAACAGTTATCTCACTAATAATTTATTTTTTTATGTGATTTTAGGTTTAAATTGAGGATTTAAATATTCTAAAGTGGGATTATGTGAATATGTTATCAGTATTGTGATTGGTTGTAAATAATTATTTATTGGCTTCAGTTTGGAGAAATTTTCTGACTGG